CTCTTATTGGCTGGTAGTAGCTACATTGGACTGCTTTTCTTAGCCACTATTTCAAAACTTGCTATTAAATTAAATGGTTATGTAGTAGCTATATTTGACAGCTTTTCTTAGCCACTATTTCATAAGTTACTATTCGTTACCCTAAACCCTAAAGGCTCAATGCCGAGCAGGTAGCCTTCAGGCTCTCAGTCCTGCGTCCTACACCGTGGAAGTCTAAGCTCTCACGTTTCCAAGCTCAAAACCCTAAGGGTCCATATGCCCAAAGGTCTTCGGGTTTAGGGTTAAGGGTCCATGTGCCCAAATAGTATATACTTTGGCTTTAGAGTAGTCCCTATATTGGTTCGTAGTTTGGGGCCAAAGTACATACTTTTTGGGCACATGGATCCTTAGGGGAAAGGAGCAGGGACTCGCGATGCCACAGCCGGTGCCTGCATCCCTCAACGGGACCCTGCATACACCCTAAACCCCAAACCTCAACTGGGTTTAGGGTTTAGGGCCTAGGGTTGGTTACCATAGAAAGATTACTTGACACCCTACCTGGACCCTAAAGAACCTACCTTATTAGGGGTTCCTTATTATGATTTCTTTATACAAGTCCTGAAAGAAAAATGGGTGATTTGGGGTTAAGGTAGCCCTAAACCCTAGACCCTAAATGGCCCTAAACCCTAAATACCCTAAACCCCAAACCCTAAACCCTAAACCCTAAGTGGCCCCTAAATCCGAACGTGAGGTACTTGCTGCAGTACGAGGGCGTGGTGGAGGTCCATTGCGAGGCCTCACGGCTGCGGCTTTTGAGCAACCGGGACCACCCCTTTAGGGTGTAAGTAGGGCTTTAGGGCTTTAGGGTTTAAGGTTTAGGGTTTAGGGTTTCTAGTTTCCAGGGTTTAGGGTTTTAGGGTTTAGCGTTCAGGTTTTAGGGCTTCTAGGGTTTAGGGCGTGGTGCGACTGACAGTTTCTGACGGCATTGCAGAAGATGAAGATGACTGCGGCAAGGACCATGCCGAAAAATTGGTGATGATATGTTCCTAAACCCTAAACCCTAAACCCAAAACCCTAAACCCTAATTCTGGTTACACTAGGATCCCCAGTAGTACCCTTTTGCCCCTTTTTCGTTTAAGGCTCCCTTACTAAAACCAAGTAGTAGAATAAAGGGTACCTGATCATGAAGGACCTACTGGTACCCAGAGAACCCAATACCCCTTAATTAAGGGATTTACCTTGCATTATGGGGGCCTTAATATGAGGATTTAAGGTATATTCCTTAATTAAGGGGTATTGGGTTCTCTGGGTAAACCTGGTTCAAGATGGAAGCTCCTTCTAGGTTTGCAGTGAGGATTCAGATGGTGAGCATTCTAGGATCTGCATGCGAAGGAATTGCAATTGCAGACTTTTGTCGTTACCCGTTTGGTCTTCTGTTTTTTCGGGAGCTCCTCTTCAACCGTCCCTGTACTCACACAACTCTGGAAGTATTTTGAGCAGCCTACGCCATTATGCGACATCGATCGTCTTCCTTGCAGCTTTTCTTTTGACCCAGACCACGGTCCACAATATGAAGCCGGATGTCATCCATAGGTTTGGTGCCGAAAGTTGCGGATTCAGAGTGTTTAGATCTTAGGGGCTATAGACTTTGTCACTTTCCTGTGAATCCACCCGCAGTTGTATGCAGGAGCTTCAGTGTTTACTGCAAAGCTGATTGCTTTTAATTACGGCCTTGAGCCAGGCTGTCTTGAAGTTCTGTATGCCCCGAAAGCGGCACAGGGCCAAGGTTGTGCTAACCGCAAGTTCAAAAGCCAATCGTCGAATCCATTAATCAAGCTCCCCGTGAATGCTACGTTTTAACATACAAATAGCAAACAAGGTTACTGGGCTTAATTTCCGCCGTCACACCTTCACAAACATTATTGTGCTACACCGCATCCCTCGGGTGTGTGTGTGTGTATATATATATATATAGTATTATTCTGACCATCATGAAAATGTTATTCTCCTTTGGGCTCGGTAGATATCAGGTCTATCAGTAGAGGTCTCTGCCTATCTTCAATTTTTGGGTCGCTGTACTGCTGAGTTTGGGGTCTGACCCCAATGTAATCACAGGGATCGGAACGGTGAGTAAAAGTATCCCCTTATACAGTGATCTTTCACCTATAATTTTTAATGTACCCCCGCCCAAAATCCTCTGTAAACCATCCTCTGGCCAGATCCCTGGACCACAAAATGTCCAAACCCTAAGCCCCCAATCCCTAAACCCTGAGGTAGGGTCTGTAGAGTCGGCCGAAACTGGGGCCTTTACAGGAGTCTCTGTGGATCGGGACGTAGGGAAGCAAGAGGGTTGCCAGAAAGTCCTTCCGTAACTGTCATTTAAGAAATAATACAACCCCTACAACGCCTTGCAAGATATTCAGGCTCCTGTACTGTTGAACTCGACAAACCCTTCAGTCTTCGGGTTTTGGGCTTGGAACTTTTTGCAAAACCATCCGTCTGTCAAGGTCGCGATTTTGAGGTTCACAAAACTCCTCAACCCCAGCGTAGCTGGGCAAGTACGGCGTGGGTGGACACACACACACACATGCAGAAACCAAACACGCACACGCATGCGCGCACACACACACA